TTTACACTGCATGGCCACATATTACACCGCATGACCACATATGGTAAAGGATACCGGTCAAAATTAAGTAGGGTTAAATAAAGATTAACCAAATTTGAATTAGCCAGAAAAACCCTAAAAAGCTAATACGTAGCAACTAATCGACTAAAAGGTACGTATGTTCCGTACGTATCTACTTATTAAGATTTTGTAAATGCCGGCCATATTACTATTAAAATGCTTGGCACGATGTTTAAGATGTTGCCCGTGTCGGCACTTGCAGAACAATAACGATACGTACTTATGTACGAAAGATATTTATGGCACCAGCAAAGACTCCACAGGGCGTAATTTTTGTGCAGAACAGATGATAATATTTTTTGGAATATGTGGCGTGACATCATTTCAAGGCTGATGGTCATTGGTTCTCATTCTCCAGTTATACTAAAAAGGAAACAACCAATTAATGAGTTCAAATTTGCAATTTTACCAGAAGAAACTTGCCCCTCATTTGATAGTCACTTTCCTTTATTTATGCAAATCAATAAGAACTTGGATCCATCTTTAAAGAAGGTTTATCACTATGTCTGACATAGGATCCATGTGCAAAGAAAAGAAAAAAAAGCGGCAATACTGAAAATTAATGTTTAAGTTGACCTTAATAAACTAATTAAAAATGACAGGAATGAAAGTTCACATACAAAGAGTAATAGTTTACTCCTATCGTTATAGCACTAAAGCTAATGTCCTGACTTTAAATTTCTATCTTCACGCATATCGTTTATTTTTATTCTATCTTCACACATATTGTATATAAAGTTCCTTCTTTGGCACAAATAAGTAAATCCGCTTAGTGTTAGACTGGTCTAGTCCTTTATCTAGTTACACAAATAATACGTGTATCGATTTACAATAATACGTATGTCGATTTAATTTGACCAATTTGATCTGTATAAAATGGTTAGACTAGATCACTATGAGAAATTGTCTGATCAAATTAGGCAATCGACATAATTCCTAAATCACACTTTTTATATGGAGCGAAGGAAAACGATTAATTATGCATGGGGTGTGGCTTTAAACCCTAATGATGTGTTCATGAGAATTTAAAACTTCATAGAAATAATAATATAGGTACGTACGTACGTACGTATATACTTAAATTCTTTACATGTAGAAGGGAAAATTTCACCGAATATGATTATTTATTTAACCGTGAATTCAGATCCGGAAAGTAATCCAAGCACTCGTACCACATATATGCGCATGTGGTAATAAAAGCACTCCATTATTGTCGATTTGATACTCTTTTCAAATAATGGCTAAATACATAATTGAAACAGCGGCACCGTTACAAGAAAATTCGCAGAAATTTGAATATTTAATATCCTCAGTTAAAAGTTCACCAGAATCTCAATCATCAAATATACCAATTAAACCACATAATTATAAAAAAGATTGTCTACTTTCTGTTGACAATGAAAACCTTGAACCATTTTCACCAAGAACACAATCTATGATTGATGAACTAGAACAACATGTTGATGAGCTTGCTAACTCTAATGATCAAATCTCCATAATTGATTCACCGCGTGAAGTCTTGACTAAATCAGATGTCATATTAGAATCTAATTCAATACCGTTAAATATTAATATTCAAAAAGATAGTGAAGATGATATCTGGCAATATTTTAACTCAATAAGCCAGAGTTTCTCACTGAATGATCCATGTAAACTCTATATGCTATCATTATTCTACAATGTCTATTATTATGCATTCATATATTAATACACCTAACTCTAATATTCAACAGCAGAAAAAATAGGCTTAAACCTTGATACAGCTTCAATTAGCATTAAGAATGTTATTATAGATCAAGGTATTAATGTATTTTTTAAAAAAATTAAAAAATTTCATTATATCTAATTTTATGAATTATAACAGAAATTGTAGATTTGCCATGTATGTTTTACTAAAATAATTGTCGCGGCTGAAGCTGGAAATTTTAAATATTTTAATATGAAATTTTCGAAATTTTTTGGGGTGCATTTTTCTAGCTTTTTTTACATAGGGTTAGTTTTGATAATAAAAGAGTATAGGTGGGGTTTATATTTTAAAATTGGGGTCCCTAATTTCCAGCTTCAGCCGCGACAATAATTAACCAATTAAATCATTATCAATAACAAAAAACCAATAAATTTTTATATAAAGTACCCATTGACATTTTTCCAGGTAAATATGATTTAACATTTTAAATTATTCGATTTATAGATTTTCATTACCTTACAAAAAACACTAATATCCATTTTAATAGACAATATACTTGTTCATATCAAATTATTGAACTTTGATTCGTCACGAAGATTAGATTCCAATGCCAAAAAATCAATTCGTCTTATGATCGGACAAACAACTTACCACACTAAACCAAGTACATCTCTTGAAGATCAATTGAAAAAATCGTTTCTTTTTCCTTTTAATTATCATTCATTGATTTTTGACACAATGAAATTGGTTATTTACGAATACGGCTCTTTCTTGAATAAAAAAAGAAAATATGGACGTGTTATTGTTCGATTGAATGCTTTAAAACAGACTATAATTAACCATGGGGAATTTGAAAAGTGATTGTCGTTATTTCTAAAAATTTCATTTGATTTGTTCCTATTTAACTAATTACATTATTATATTATATCAGAACTTTCCCTATAGAAGCTAATTTACACGAAATTGGTGCTGTACAAGTCAACATAAAATTACATTTTCCTAATGACCCACCTTTTTCTCCCCAAACATTATCTTCCTCAATACAATCACCTTTGATTCAAAACACTCGTGATTATTTCGATGACAGCATTGAGACACAATCTGATGCAATATCTCTTGGTATACTTGGTACGGTATTAAGCAAAGAAACAAGAGATGCAATTAGGGAAATTACCGCTCTTTATCATGCATTTTTTGGTCATGGGTGGAGGTTGACCAAATTAGAATTCTTCAAAGCATATATGCTATTAGAGAAATATTATAGTCAAAGGGAAAAGTAATATTTATTATATATTTATTTATTTTGTATGTTAAAGAATATTATTCTTTTAGCATTATTCATTTAATTTTTTTTTTGTACGTATATTTTGATGATAGCCCGACTACAGGAAACTTGAGTTATGATATAAATATGATGGAAGATGCTTTGCGATATCTACAATTTTCTATGGCATCATATGTATGTTCTTTATAATTTTGTTTTATAAATTATATATGATTTCTCATTCTTATTAACATGTTTGATCTAATATTATAGGGGTCTTTCTTGTTTAATTGGTTTGGATATGGTCCTCGAAGTATGTAATCTTATTATATGTAAATGTATTATCTTTATTATGATATTTAATACAATTTTATATAGATGCTTTTGGGATGACTTCTGATAAAAAGATTGTCCGAAATTTTTTCAACCTTGAGAAAAGTGATGTTATATGTTGGGAATATGGTCAGAAAACAGTTTCTGTACCTAATTATATGGTGATTAGAGACCCAAAAACAAATTCTATTTTTATATGTATTCGAGGATCTTTGGTAAGATTATATAACTATTCTTTTTTTTCCTTTAACATTTACATTTATTAACTTGCAAATTTTTACAGAGCATTACGGACTTAATTACTGATGCTCTTGCATATTTCGAACTTTGGAATGGGAGTTTTGTTCATCGCGGAGCATTTCGTAGTGCGCAATATCTTGTAGATCAGTCCTTAGAAAAAATTAAAGATGCTGTAGCAAAATATAAAGTCAAATCCATAAAAATCATGGGGCACTCATTAGGCGCATCCATATCATCTCTTGCAACGTTGCTTTTGCGAGAACGTTGTAAAGATCTGCTTGACAGTGGAATTGATATTTGTTCATGGAATTTTGCAACTTTTCCATGTTGTTCTCTTGATTTGGCATCAAAAGCTGACACGATGAAATGCATTATTAATTTTGTAAACGAAAATGATGTTATTTCAAGATTAAGTTACGGGAATTTAATGGATTTTAAAGAATTGGTTAAATTTGCTGCTACTGAATTAAAGAATAATGAATATAAAGAGGTATGTCATTGTAATTAACAATATTTTTTTTACTATCTAGTTATTTATTTACTTATTTATCTTTTTATTTGTTATTATTATTATTATTTTACAAAATTATTATGGCAGTTGAAATCAAAACAAAAACTTGCTAAAATATTCACTTCCATTGATGCTTATCGTAAAACTTTAAAATCAAATTCACATTCACAAAAACTATATATACCTGGAACAATATATTATTTATACAAAAGAACTGATAACTTTCAGATGGAATCATATTTTCCATCTAATAATAAGGATGTAGTATGTGAAGAATCCAAACCTGATTTCTTTACGGACATTTGTTTGCGTAAGAATTGGTTGTTCCATCATTTTCCTGATAGATATGATAAGAAATTTAAAGGAGTTATAAAGTTTTTGACAAAAGAAATGAATAAATGTGCACTGGGAAATGTATGTAAAAATATAGTTATAAATTTATTATAGTGACTCTAAAAATAACACCTCTTTTAAATTTTCTTTTTATTTAGGAACTTGATCATGTTTTGAACTAACATTTTGTTAGTTCAAATAACTTTTTATTTCTTTATGGTAACTGAAATAACTTTATGTCGTCTTAGTCTAAAAGTTACAAGCACTTACTCTATAACGAATAAAAAGTTTATTATTACAGTCAACTCTCTCTAATCCGAACCTCTCTAATCCGAACACTATTAAATTCTCTCTAATCCGAACGAAAAACTCTAGAACATTTGTAAATTTTATTATAGAGTTCGGATTAGCTAATAATAACTCTTTGAGAACAGAACTTTTTAACCAATTTTACATATAAGAACGGACGGTTCGGAATAGATAGAGTTGACTGTATTAATAAAATTTTATAGTGTATGTTAACTATATATAATTATTTTTTACCGCCATAGCGATGTATCGCTACTCCCTGATACTTAGTTGTCGCGTCGCGTGATGACGGGGTTTAAATATTCAAACTCCGCTTGCGATTAGTAATATAGATTACCTATCGCTATGGATTACTAAGAGTTTGAATATTGAAACCCCGACATTGCATGGCGCGACATTTAAGTTTCGGGATTTGGATTTTCCGGATTTGGATTTGACTTAGACCCGGGGTAGCGATACATCGCTATAGCGATAAATTATAAAGCCCTAAAAATATTTATACATAAATATCAATTAAATTACGTATTCAATGTATAAAGTGATGAAATGATTTATTGATTATATAATGATCACTAGGATATAACTAATTACAGTTCGGAATAAATTTAATGAACGCCTGTTTCCACCATGATAGTTCTGTGGCCAGAAGTAGAGTAAGCAGATTTGTAATGTCAGAACTAGGGATGGATACGGTTACGGTTATAGCCATTTGTAACCGGTTATAAGGGGTCGCTTAAAGCAGGTGCAGTCATATGATTTTGACATTTTAAAGTTAGGGTAAAGGTTAGTCGGAGGTTAGGGTAAGGGCAAGCTTTGTAGTAAAATTGCCTTCCCGACATTTTTAGTTAATGCCCCAAGGTAGATTTAGATACTCGTTTCTTGTACACTTTTTTTTTCTCGTCGGGTTGATCAAAACAATCAAGTTTATTGGCCACGTATCACGTGATTGCACCCTGCTTTAAACGACCCCCGGTTATAGTCGTAACCGTTGCTAGCCGGTCAGAGCGGTTTAACTGACCGGCTAAATCAAAACTAATGCGCACATGATATTGCATTTACAGCTATTTTCTAAAAAATTAGAATGATTTTTCGGTCAATCCAGTTAGGTATATAAATTACGTTACATACATATAGATTACATTGTAATTTGAATTTATATATTTTCATACAAACTAAACACACTAAACGTGTTGAGCAAGTATTCAAATGAAAATTCAATAATATTGAACGTGTCGACATTTACAATGTTAAAATTATATGTTAGAAATTTGCGTAATTTTTTACAAGTTTCTGATAACGTTGGTTAAAACTTTCAGAGTGCTGGCAAAACTTTCGTGACGCAGGTGCAATAAGTATGTGCCAGTACACTAGTTAACTGTTAATGTAAAGTTGCGTACGAACGTACATGCATACGTACTGTACAATTTTATAATTTGATTGCAATTTTTCGTATTTTTGCGTAAGCTTCGGTAAATCGATTTTTCATGTAATTAGATCAAATTTTCGGCGATTTAGGAATTACAATTCGTATCGTGCATTCAAATCAAATGATGCGATAATGCTTACCGAAATTTTATAAATCATAGTGTTTCGCACGGACCATATCGGACAGATATTATTTATAAATTCGGAGCTAAAGCTAGATCTGGATCCGAATCTAATAGATCCGAATGCGAACTAAATTAATTGAAATAAAATTTACTTGTAAACTTATATACTTTTAACTACACTATGCAGTTTATTTAATATGATTTAAAGCTATTTACATATATTTAGCTTTTTAGTTCTTTCCACCATAATTTTAAACACATTGCCATTTGGACTGTTTTTTCAGCTAATTTATTTCATTTTTCAGTTATCATATCTTTATTAATACTAAATATTTGTTTACTTGGAACACTCGTAACTGGTATTGAAAGACATTCTTTAGCAAATTTTGCAAGATTGGGATAACAAGGTTTATTCAATCATCACCAATTTAAAATATCTGTTGATAGATCTGCGCATAGTATCATAAAGTATATATCAATTTTACTTTGTTATTCTATACATGTTTTTATAAATTTATAACATTATATTTGTTGTAAATAGTTCAGTAATTCGATTTTCAACATCTTGATTAGAAACAGGTGCATATTGACTTTCATATTTGTCTTTAATTCTATAAATTAATGTATATAATATAAATAATATGTTTTTATTTTCTAATTATATTAAAATTACAAATTAATATTTTTTTAATTTGAGAGATAAGTATTAATAATTATCCAAACTCTTTAAAATAATTAAATTTAAGTTTTGGGTTTAGTATTACTATTTTAAAATATAATATATTTGTCTTGTAATAATAATTTAAAAGTTTAGAAGTTGCAGCTTTATATTCTTGCACAAGATATTGTTTATTTGTTAAGTTTTTTTAAACATTTTAAGTAATATATGATATAAAAACAACTATTAATAATATTAGATAATTAATAATTATTTTTTTTATTTCAGTAACTTTACTTTTATTTATATATCAGAAGTAGATTATAAATATATTTTAGTTAGCTAATACTTATATACAAATTTATTAACTACTATATTTTTATTTAAATAAAGATTCTCTTAATCTATCTCATTATTGCAGTAAAATTAAAACAAAGCTCTAATTTTATACTAAAATATAATTCAGAAGCAACCCACCTAAGTAAATATTTTTTCTTTCAGGATTTCAACTTTCTAAAAATATAAGCCCCAGATATTAACAGATAGTTTTTATTGATCTTGTTAGAATCACTGCCTACAATAGAGTGTCATCAATCTAATAATAGTTATATTATAACTCAAAACTTTTTAAAAATAAAAGTAATAAACAATACTAATCTTTTAAAGAGGTAGCCAAATCCTCTACTTTTTATAAAAAATATAAAAAAAAAAAGTAACAAAAAAATATTGTAGTTTTGCAAACTTTTTAACTAAAGAGAGTTTTTAAGAATTGTTTATAATCTTCTATTTTTAATCAACTTGCACTTACTTTCTACTTGCTGTTCTCAGAAACTTCTTTAGTTTGAATACTAAATATACAAGAGTCTATCTCAAGAAAAAATACAGAAGAAGGTTTAACCCCTATACAAATTATTCAAAACACCTACTCCTTAGTATATTATATTTAAAGACTTTATCAATAACAATTTGTATTAAAAAAGTTTTAAGTTATTGTTAACTTTTGGTTTTGAGTTTTCAACTTGTTTGTGATAACTGGTTAGTACAAGTGATTATTAAAAAAAGAGATTAAATAATTAATAACTATTACTAAATTAAATTATAATTTATTATTGGATAAATCTAAATAGCGCCTCGGAGCACTTTGTGCCTCTATAGCAAAATTAAGCCTGCAATAGTATTAGGTTAGGTTTAAGGTTAGATTTAAGGTTAGATTTAGGATTAGGATAAGGTAAAATTGCAAGAGAAACATTTTTGCTTATATTATATGACAGGGTTACCTAGTCAAAATTTTAAGATATTGGCGATTTTATAGTAAAGAGCACAAAGTGCATGGGGCACTATTTAGTTGTGTTCTTTATTATTTAATAAAATTATAATCTATTTAATAAAATTTTAAATTAATAAATAATTAGTATAATTATTAACCTAATTTTTCTTAAATAGTTATAAAACTTTTTGATTTAACTCTTTCACTAATCCTCTAAATATGAATTTACAAAAATAAAATTAATAAAAAACTACAAAAAATATATAAAAGCTATTAACAAATAGACTTAGAGATCTAAAAAAAGAGAAAAAAAACTGTATAAAACACCTAATCTCTTAAGAGACTTGAGTAAAAAAGCAAAAGCAGCAAAGATATAGAGAAAAATATAAAAAATCATTAATAGTTTTTATATTTTGTAAATTTTTGGAGAATCAGTCTTAACTCTATAATTCAAATTTATTTAGATAATACAAACTCTACAATATATAATAAAAAATAAACAAAGAAATATATTAAAAACTATATAATAAATATAAACAAAGAAGATAAACAAATGCAACAAATAACAACAATAACTAAAACTGATAAACAAGTAGTATATTATATAGAAAAAATATTAGCAAAATATTTTAAAAAGAAGCTTATTATAGCAGAGAAAGCAGATATATAAATTAATGTACTATATAATAAATTTCTGCAATATAAGTCAAGTAAACTTAAATATACAAAATTTATATTAAGAAAAAAAAATAAATATTATTATTAAAAAGCAATACTAGAAGAAATAGATATATTATATTTGAAGAAATATATAATATCATAGTTAAACTAAAGATAGCTAACAGAATAAGATTGATCTTGAAAATAGAAAAACAAGCTACTAAAATTAAATCAAAATTAGAATTAAGTTAGAGTAAGAATTTTTAAAAACAAAAAAAAAATTAACAAAAATAGCACAACAAAATAATATTAAAGAGATTAGCATAATAGTTTAAAAATCTATGAAAACCATTACAAAAAACTAGCATAAAAAGAAAAAAAAATTAAAAAAGAAATAAGAAAGATGCAAATTTAACAAAAAACAAAATTATAAAAAAATAGCAAAGAATTAATAAACAAATTACTAAAATAAAGTCAAAATTAGAAACAAGTTGGAGCAAAAAACTTCAAAACAAAAGAAAAATTAACAAAAACAGTACAATAAAATGATATTAAAAATATTAGTACAACAATTTATAAAATCTATTGAATTTGCTACAGCAAGTTAATATAAAAAAAAAAAAAATCAAAATTCTAAACAAGATATGAAGGAAACAAGATTAAAAATCTCACTAATGATCTTAAAAAAACAAAAAATATAATAGCAATTAAAACAAAAATCTACAAAAGAATATAATA